GCTGAGTATAAATACTTTGGTGAAGACCGTTTACTGACAAGACTTGGCAACCCAAGAGATTTGATCCTTGGAAAGAGATTGATTCTTTCCAAGAATAAGATTGTTTGTCATTGCTCTTCCTTGATGAGAGGAAATTGACAGCTTTCCTTCTACAGATGTTAACGACGAGGGTTTACTCCTTGATTGTTGGTCCTTCCTAAATTAGCCGCTCAGCTAATCTTCTTACAGAATCTACGATGCTTTTTGACTGCTTCAATCTTCCGGATTGAATGTGCTGGTCTTGATTGGTGCCTTAAGTTTAGGCTTGCTTGATTCTTTCCATCGCAGCTGTCCATGATCTTTGCAGATTGATTCGTAATCTTTGTTGATTGATTTCTTTCCTTAAGCATCCAGATTGACTTCAGTAATCTTGTAATTGATTTCCTGCACAGATATATTATTTGCATCATTAAAATTAGATCTGACAGTTTGGTTCCTTTCCCTTATCCCTTTCCACCTTGTTAATTTTCTAAACTTTTTGACTTTATTATTTTATTTTATCTGTAGTGTTTTTCGCATGCTTTCTTAAGCAAGAGCATCTCATAATAAATCATTTAACTTGAATCTATAATAAAATAATTCTATCTATGGCAAATTTTCCATCAAGACCCTCAAATGAGACTCCATCTATCCCAATTTATGTGATAATTCGGATTTCGAGAGTAAGATGAATTTTTCTGTAATTATGATTTTTTTCATATACCTTTAGTTTGAATTTTCAATTATTTTGACTTATAGTACTTTTTGCGTAGTTTTCAAATATGTAAATATTATTTTTTTAAAATTAAAGATATTATACATCAAAATTAAAAAATTTGATTCTCGAAATTCATCAAAACTGTGTGACATAAATTGAGACAACGGGAGTATTCTTTTTGTATATCAGTATTTAAACATTTAGCATCTTCAATGTACTTCACTACCTTCTGCGAATTGAAAAGCTTGTAAACGTTGCCATTTGGCACAATTTTGTAATACTATGTGTTAAGCTGAGCTGTTAGCAAAATAATTAAATTATAGTAGATGGCCCTTTTGAAACTGATGAAGTTACCAGTTTTTATTGTTGAACTAGAATATTTAGCTCAGCAAACCCCAAGCAAAGTGTGAATAAAAGAGTATTAAATAAATAGTAGTTGATTAGAAGTAGCTAAAAGAAAGCCTATTTATTTGATGACAGATCTCCCTCCTAGAGAAGCAATATCTGAAAATTGCTATTTGACAATTTTCTTTTTAGTAAATATTTAATTTGAAGGAGAAGTAGGGCCGTGAATAAGGGATCAAAGAGAAATATCCTTGACCATAGTTTACTTGTTGGATACAAATCTAAAAATCGAACTCAATTACTCAACACTAAAATACACTTTGTATTGACCCCACTAATTCAGATTTGCGCCACATTAAACTCATTACAAAAGGAAGTGCTTTCTCCATAATTTTTTTTAATACTTGAACTCGATACATCTTGTTAAGACAGGGGGAGGGGGTGCTTGCTCAATTAGTCAATTATATTATTTCATGAATTGAGCTTAAACATGCTTTCTTTAACAGCTAACTAAGATCCACACTTTAGTGACTTGATCTGCAATTTTGGTCTGCAATATCATGTTTGATACCTTATTAAAACCAGTTTTGAGACATACGAAGAGTCATTATATTCAAGATAGGTCCACACCTAAATTGTCCATTATATACCTTTTAAAATATCAAAATTCAAGAGGCTCAGCTCCTGACCTTTTAACATGTTTATGACAGTATCCTTTTTTCTTAATAGATTTGGAAGACCTGATTAAAGATTTTGACAATCCCAATCACCTATTTGAAACTCAAGCAATGAAATTGGATTCTTAATCCCTGCTCAAACTAAAATTAAACCTCTGAAAGTCAAGAAAAATTGAGCAAGGAGTTCATTTTCGAGTCAAAATAGAATTTATCTACAAAACTAGCTTTTTCAACATGCTTTGTAGGCGTTTGGACATAAAAATTGTAATTTCTGAAAAAAGGTAGTATTTAGAGTTAAGTTGAAAAATGATATTTGGAACTTATATTCAAATCTAGAGTCCAAAAACTTGCAAAATTTTATGGACAAATATATTTATGAAAAAAACGAAAAAAAAATTATGGACAAACGGGACGTTTATATTGTTAAGCCAAAAATACCTCGAGATAAGGAACAACTAGTAGCGTAGAGCATGATCAAGAAATCCTTGTCATGCAACAACTTTCAGAAGTACTTTTTAAATCTGATCTCAAAAAACATAACAACAAAGTAAAGATTGGCATCTTTGTGTCTCTGCAATTTTAAATTCTTCAAAGAACAAGATTTGAAGATTACAATGTCAAATCATAGCCTTAAGTGATTGATTTAATACATGGAATCCAGGGGGACACCAACAAATACAAAGGAGAAAAATAAGAAAAGAACTTATGCACTTCCTTCTCCTTTTTCTCTACTTTTCTTTCGTTTGCCGCGCAAAGATATATACCTTTAATTTGTCACGCATCTACCGTTATGTTAAGTGGTCAATAAAGTTAATGCAAGCCTTACACATCAGGGTTCAAACTCCTATAAAGATATATTAGATGATTTCTCTCGATTTCTAGATTTTGGTGGGCAGAAAAAGTTAATCCAGATATTACCATTATAAGAAAAATAAAAAGAGATACCTTTATCACTTTATAATCTTCAAAAAAATATTTGCATGTGAGGTGAAGGATTGCATAATATCTTTTGCCAAACATAAATATGATCCTCAAATGCCAAATAAGAAAGTATTTGTTCAATTTTTAACTAGCACAAGAATTTGTTCAATTTTTAACTAGCACCCATGAATAGCCATATATGGCCAAGGGTAAAGCTTTTTCATAATAGGAATGGAAAACTTTTAATAGGATACCTTTGTTCGGGAAATTGTTGAGGCAGTATTGGAGATAAAATATATTTTTATATACAAACATCTTTACTAAGATCAAGTTGCAGATGTTAGAGAAAAGAAGGCCAATATATGAATTCTTTGTCAGGAATATTTACCACTGAAGTTTTGTACGTTCCCAAATTGTCATGATATTATTCAGATTTTAACCTATACGCATTGATCATGTAAAAAGTTTTAACCTTTTATAACAAGTAAACTATCTTATTTTCTATGTTACTAATTTCACTTTTTATGGATAATTGTTCATAATATACAAAGAACCGTCATCATAATTAAATATGTAAATAGAAGTATAGATCATATTTCGCACGAACCGAAATATATCAATTTCCACAAATTAAAAGAAAAAGATATGATTCCAAGAACATTACAAGGACTCATGGTCCTACTCTCTTTGAAAAGAAAAAATATACCAAAAACTCGTTTTTGATAATCATTTAGCCAACAATAATTTTTAACATGAAATTACGTCAGATAGACCTTTTATAACCACCGTTATATTTTGACAACATTAAGAGAACATGTATGGAAAAATTCTGATGATAGTCATATTTTGTGGCAAATTCTGAATGAAAATTTCTGGCGATTGCCATGTTTTGTGACAAATCGTGTTGATAACGATTCTGGAGATTGTCATGAGCGCATCCTAATATTTTGACGAAAGCTATTTCCCCAAGACTTTTCTGACTGTCAAAAAATAAACAGTGGGACTGAAATATCCTATTTCTGCCATTCACCCAATTTTGTAATAACTTTTACATTTGACAACAAATAAAAGATTCCAAAGATCGGAGGGTCAAAGTATAAATTAATCCTAACATTCCCCATTAATTATATTGCGAAAAATGCACAATAGAGGTTCATCTCAAACGGTTATACTAAGGTCCTTGACGAAGAAAACACATATGCTTAATTTTATTATTAGTTATTATTTGTCCATTAATTGTGACTTATATAAATAGAAGTAATATTTTACCGTTGGCAATTCGCGTAAACAAACAAACAAACAAAACACACACTGAAGTAAAAAGCTAATGGTACTTGATGACTGACTATGAAATCAATATAATGAAAGAGTTTAATTTCTATATATTCATGGTCGTTTACAAAAATATATTATTAGGTCACTTAAAATATAACTACAGTTAATCATTCATAATAAGTTGGATTTTTTATTTTTGAAAAGTATGATATGTTACCTATTATAACATCGTAAAAATACACTGTTAATATGAATCTTATTTAAACTATCAAATTACATCCAGCAATAAGAAATGTTTAGGACTTGGAGATTCCTCAACAGAATAACAGTTTTGTTGCGTGCATTTTCACTCTTGTTAAAACTCTACTAAAAGAGTAATGTGGTTAAACAGAAGGAGCTAAAATTTAAGCAATTTTGTCAACTTAAACAAAAAGTCAGATAGTGATTAGTTATTAATTAAAGCATCAAGCCGCCCCTCCCACTCACCTTATAGTGGATCGGAGTTTGTGAAAAAAGTTTTCACGTCTAAAACAAGAAGAAAGATCTCATAATGCAGGAATAAAAAGCATAAATTATTAAGCAATAGAGCTCATATATGTAAATTTTACAGTAACTCATTAAAATTTTATCAATCTCTCCATCTTTTTTCTGTTAGAATAATTTCTATGACTTTTTTCTTTTTGCACTTTTACTCGACAACTTTTTTAGTAATAGCAAATATTGAACTTTTGCACGCACTCATGATTAAGTGATGATATGTATATATTTCGCTTTAATTTTTACCTATTAAAATTATACTGCTTGATTATTTGATGTAAACATTAAATGCGAATAAATATTTATATATTTATATAATTTTTACTAGTGAGGGTGAATTCCACAACTTCCTACTCCATCCTTTTGAAGATCAACTCATATTTTAAATATATCCTTTTTCTGTCCCCATCAAACCGCCTGTCCACTATTTTTCTATTGTTTCCTTTTCCTTCTAATGTTAGCTTAAAAAGCCGCCCCCCCCCCCCCCCTTTCTATATTCCATATAGTAATATCTCCTCCTCTTCTTCTTCTTCTTCATAACTATAACTATGACCGGAAAAAGAAGCCAAAACAGCCCGGTGGGTAGCCCGTTATCGGGCAACGTGTCCGATAACTCCTCCAAAGAGCTAGACAAATTCCTCCCTATAGCCAATGTTAGCAGAATAATGAAAAAATCCCTTCCTGCTAATGCAAAAATCTCCAAAGAAGCCAAAGAAACTGTCCAAGAATGTGTTTCTGAGTTCATTAGCTTCATCACGGGCGAAGCCTCGGATAAATGCCAGAGGGAGAAGAGGAAAACCATTAATGGAGACGATCTTTTGTGGGCTATGACAACATTAGGGTTTGAGAATTATGTTGGACCCTTAAAGGGTTATCTCAATAAGTATAGAGAAACTGAAGGGGAAAAAAATATCATGGCTAGAAATGAAGAACCTTGTGAACCAACTAGTTATAATAATATTATAACTAGTAGTAATAGTACTACTAGTTATAATAATATTATTGGTGTTCATGGTCATGGTCATGTTACAAAATTCTCAAAAAGGCCTGAATTTATTCAGAGTTTTAATAATGACAATTTTGCACAAAGTTTTGGAGATTATGGAAGGGTTAATGTCTATGGTGAGAATCTGACCTCCGCAACTAATCTTCATGGGGTTGAATGGTAGACTATTTTGGGACTGTTTCTCGATTTGTATGTGTCATCCTTGAGCAAAGTTCCAATTTTATCAGGCGTCCCTGAAAGGATTAATGATAGACTTATTTGGAAAGTTAATGTTAAAAGGTGTCCTTATTTCTTAACATGTTTCATATCTTCTTCTTTTTTTATGTTATCTTTATTTTTATTTTTCAAATTAACACATTTTATTACCTTTATATAGGTCTGATTATGTATCTTTCTTATGTGATGAATGAGCTGATTCATTAATGTCATGATATTATTTATGTCTAGTCAACTTATTGTTGGATAAAAATTAAGCATCAAATGCTAACTTCTATGTTGAGAAAACTTAATATGATCCTGGAAAGTTTTAAGAGGATTAAAATTAAGGTTCCCTCTATATATTCTTCATTATCAATTCTAATAATTAACTGACTAGTATATATGAAGCTTGTGATTATAAATGTCGGAAAATTCCCGACCCCAAAATTTACGACATTTGATACAAATATAAATTAAATGTCGGTAAATGAATTTACGACATTTAAGCAGCATTATATGACATTTATTTAATGTCGTCGTATCCTTACTTTCTTGTAGTGAGATTAGAATTTCAACTTTACTATTATGTATTTTAGAACAACGATTTCAAGTGCTAATAACTATGTTTTAAATCTAATACTTGTATATGTTTAGTATTATATGAATATATGTACATTCAAGAATTAGCAGATAATAATGCTGGAGAGTGGAGACAAATAATTAACTATACTTACTAAATAGTTGAGTTTTCTATATTATTGGTAGGAACTCAGTATGGTGTTATGTCATATAAGTACTTTCATGAAGAATCTGGATATTAGAATATTAAGATCAGTTTTATATATGAAAAACAAAGTTATTGGCGCTGGAATGCATATACAGACATCTAAACTTGTTCAAAGTTTTCATTTTGACATCTAAACTAATTTCATAACCTATTGAACACCTTACTGTGTCTATTAGACACATTTAACTGACATGCCCCATACGAGCCAAGTTATTAATGACATTATGAACATTTGTAATTCTGTATATGACATATTATCACTTTTTTATTTGCTTGCCATATTAATATTAACCTCTAAAAATAGGAACTTTTCGTTGTATTGACCAAAAGAAGCTGATCATTCACTGTTATTGTTGTCATGGCCCAAAGCACTAAAGTCTATGTTCGATCTTTGTCAATAGCATGATACAAGTCCTGACTGATGACTCATGACTATCCACTCAAATAACTATATTAATAGGTCCACCAACAAATAAAATGTTTAAAAGCATATCGTGATATGTCATTTTCGTAACAGTGAATTGCTAACCATAATTTCCATCTCTTTTTCTTTTACTTTTGGCCGTGTAAGAAGAAGATGGTGAAATGTTTATGGATAATGTTTGTGCTATATATGATCAGAGGACACGTCTTACGTGATGAAATTGGTGTAACCTGAGTTAGAGTATTCAATCATAGTGTCACGATCCCAAATACCGGTCGTGATGGCGCCTATCACATTACTAGGCCAGCCGGACCGATTATAAACTACAACCCATTTTTATTTTAAATAAATCATTTGCTAACACGGTTTAATTACCAATTATCATGATAAGTGCTAAAACAGCAAGATAGATATGCGGAAGTCAACAAGACATAGAAATTACATAGCCCACACTGATCTGGTGTCACAAGTCTAGAGCCTTTAATATAAGTCTGAACAATCTACTACATAGATAGTCTAGGAATGCGGAAAAATAATAAGATAGAAGGGAGAAATCTGGGCTGCGGACGTCATGCAGCTACCTCGAAATCCCCGACAAGTGCTGAACGACTAAAAAGCTCTCACTAGGCCTCTGGGGCACCTGGATCTGCACGCAAGGTGCAGGGAGTAATGTGAGTACTCCGACCCAGTGAATAATAAAGATAAATAATGACTGAAGGTAAGAAAATACGTATACACATGGTATTCTATAATGAAGCAATTAATAGGTAATTTGTAAGCAGTAAACCAATGAAAAGCAAAATAAAGTACTTCTACAACAAATAGACAGGTAATTGACAGACAATTATGATAAAGTAAACACATAGACAATTTTTAGAATCTCCATACCCTCACGAGTCTAACCATACCAAAATTATCTAATTCCGGTACCATTTGGTCCTTCAAATCATCATTTTATATTTTTGGAAGATTTCACAAATTTTCTTCCCAAATTCCATCCCAAATCACGAATTAAATGGTGAATTCAATGATAGATTCATGTATTCTAGCCAAATCTGAGTTAGAATCACTTACCCCGATGAATTTCTTGAAAAACCTTTGAAAAATCGCCAAAATCCGAGCTCTCTAGGTCAAAATATCAAATAAAACCCAAAACCTCGTATTTATAGAGTACCCCACAGATTTCCACCTCTGCGGACCGCACAAAATCGACCGCGATCCGCACTAAACCAGTGCAGTCCGCACAAAAACGACCGCGACCGCACAGGCTTTCCTCTGCAGTGACACACTTTAGTATTTTGGCTATAACCTTTGCTACAGATGTCCAAATTGTGATATAATTATTGTTCTGGAAACTAGACACGAAGGGCTACAACTTTTGTTTTTGAATCATCTCAAAATTCCTTGTAGATCAAATGATATGAGCTTCCGAAATAGGACTAGTGAAATGCTCCCCACCTCGGCCGCACTGCATTTTGTGCGGTCCGCACAGCACCTACCGCGGCCGCACTTCATTTTGTGCCGACCACGCTGGTGGGTTCCGAGGCCTGCAACCCTTCTGGACCTGCTACAGCTACAATTTTTGACTTAAAACATCCCGGAACCTACCCGGGACCCCCGGAACTTCAAACCAATTGTACCAACACATCCCATGATATCGTTCAAACTTGTTCAACACTTTGGAACGCTCATAACAACATCAAATCACCAATTTAACATAGGATTCAAGCCTAAGAACTCCAAGAACTCTTAAATTATGCTTTCGATCAAAAAGTCTATCAAATCTCGTCCGAATGACCTAAAATTTTGCATACACATCCCAAATGACACAACGAAGCTGCTGTCACTCTCGGAATTCCATTCCAACCCCTATATCAAAATCTCGCTTATCAACCGGAACCGCCAAAATATCAACTTCACCAATTTAAGCCTAAATCTTCTCTAAAACTCCAAAACTTATTCCGATCACGCTCCTAAGTCACAAATCACCTCCTGAAGCTAACCGAACCATTGAAACTCACTTCCGAGCCTTCTAACACATAAGTCAACATCCGGTTGACTTTTCCAACTTAAGCCTTCTTAAAAGAGACTAAGTGTCTCAAACTTCACCAAACTCATTCCGGACTCGATCCGCCCAACCCGATACCACAATAACACGGATAACGAAGCATAAAGAAGCTGAAATGGGGGAAACTGAGCGGTAACTCATGAGACGACTGGCCAGGTCGTCACATCCTCCCCAACTTAAAAAACGTTTGTCCTCGAACGAGTCAAGAAACATACCTGGAGCCTTGAATAGGTGGGGATATCTGCTCCGCATCTCCCGCTCGGTTTTTCAGGTAGCCTCCTCCACGGGCTGAGCTCTCCACTGCACTTTCACTGAAGCTATATCCTTTGACCTCAACTTCCGAACCTGACGACCCAAAATAGCTACTGGCTCCACATCAAAGGTCAAATCATCATCCAACTGAACCGTGCTGAAGTCCAAAACATGAGACGGATCCCTGATATATTTCCGGAGCATAGAAACATGAAATACCGGATGCACACTCGACAAGCTGGGTGGCAAA